GGCTGCCTCGTCTACTAAATCTATTGCCTGTGCTCAGCCAGAAAAGGGTGAACAAGTTGTACCTGGGCGCATCTGCCAGAAAAAGAATCAAGAAGTGAATTTGCTTACCTTATCGGGAAGGAATCTTTCTGTTGCCCATGATTGGATTGGGAGGAGGATAAGATATTTGAAATCGGTGATAACCTCAGAAAGTAGGTGACATGCTTACCTGAAAGATACTATCATGGACCGCGCAAGCACATCGAAGCAAGGCTGTATCAGTGATAGTCTATAAAGCTTACAATTGAGTGTCGACTTACTCTGTTAGAATAAGCCTGCAGCGGTGACCAAAGCACCATCCGATATACTGACACCATGGTGACTGTGATGAACAAAGAACACATCAATCAGTCAATACCAATTTCAAGATGGGATTGTTTGCCTTTTGTGTTCAATACTTACACTTCATACCTTGGTTTTAATCCTCTTAAAATGCTCACAGTCTCAGTCACACTTGGTTCGCTGACTGTTACTGATTGAAATCGACGAGCTAAGGCTGGATCTTTCTCAATATTACGATACTCATCCAGGGTTGTACTGCCCGCAAGTTGAAGACCTGTTCATCAGACAAAAAGCGATATCAAGATGCGAGGTTCCTAGAGAGAATACAGTAAGCCTATGACCGAGACGGAATACGCATACCTCTCGCTAAAGCCGGCTTGATCATGTTGCCTGGTAAGTGGTTTCAGAACAGATGAGCATACTTCTGCAGAAAAAGTCGAGTCACTTTAATACTTACCAGCATCGATGGAACCTTCAGCTTTTCCCAAGTTGAGTAGAGTATGAATCTCATCGATGAACACTATAACCTTGCCTTCTTCCGCCTACAATCAATGGTTCTGTCAATTAGTCTGTTCCTTGGAATCCGAGCATTGTGTATAGTTTCTCACCTCAATATCAGAGAGTAATGCCTTGAATTTTTCCTCAAATGAGCCTCTCAAGGCAGTTCCAGAAACGAGAGTCGCAAGATCAATGGAGATGACTTATGATTGTGAAAGATCTCCTAGTCAGTTTTTCAATCAATCGCAGATAAATAAAAGGCTGAACTTACCTCGTTTATTCTGTATACTTTCAGGTACTTCTTTGTTAAGTATCCTTTGAGCAAGACCTTCCATTATTGCAGCTAAAAAGATTTTGGACAATCAGGTTAACAAATTTGTCGGTAGTTAGACAAGGAAAACAAACTCACTTTTTCCAACACCAGCTGGGCCTATCAGGATTGGATTCGACTTTAATCACAATTGTGGCAGAAGTCATGAAGAATTCAACCTCAACTTCTCAACTCATTTTTTCAGAAGTAATCATAATGACTGGTTTTTTTCAAGCTTACCTTGGTTCGACGTGATAGGAATTTGAATCGTTCGACGAATTCTCCTCAGTACGTCCGATACATGGATCAAGTTTTCCATCACGAGCCTTTTGAGTTAAATCAATTCCAAATTCTTTCAATGCATCCCCTGCCTTACGTTGCTGTTGACCAAATATGTTACCAATCGGGAATCCACCCGACTGACCCCTACCACCAGGTGGTGGCATATTCATATTGGCTGCCTGAATGAGATTGTGTCAACATGCGACAGCCATTGACCTGTCGGCTGGTAGAGGCGATTGGTTCCCCAAGCCTGACATGTGTGGCTGGGGAGCGGGTGAGGGCACGATGACCCCCAGTATAGGTGGCCAGACATCGTGAGGGATGACGAATTGTTGAAGGTGATAGTCGTAACATTTTTCAATCTTCGGTTTTGACGTGATTCAAGAGAAAATGAGATATTTCTGTAAATCGTGGAGAGGATCTGGGAAGGAGAGTCTTTCCTATGTTTTCATGAACTTCATCTTGAGCGAACACGACTGCTCAACTCTTGTTGTGATCGTTCATTACAAAATCCTTTCGAGCACTCTCTAGCACTTTCTAGATCGGCCGAGTGACGTCGAGCTGACCTTACAAGGATCGGATTCGGCTTGCTTAAGTCTAACCCTAAGCTCAAGTACTTGCCATTTCACTCGGTGTAAAACACGTTTTAGGCATCCTTATGTCTACTTAAAATCTCCATGCAAGGCTTCCCATGAGCCCTCATGTTGCAGGATTCCAGTTTAAATGGAATGACTCGGCCAATTTGTTTCGAACCCTTCTAGAGTTCATGATTGTTCATCACATGAAACACATCTCAAGCGTTCCTTATCAAAGTAGATCTCCAGTGATCAGCTTCTGTTTTTTGATACGATGATATAAAAATTATTTAGACGATCGGGAGGATAAAGGGTCATATGGGATGATTTATGCACAAGTTTGAACTTCAGTGACGAGTTTGAGTGATGCAAGTCACTATTGAGCAATTTAATCCACCATTTGTGACTACAAATATGAGTTTATGTGCTCAGACAGTTGTTGATTATCAATAGCCCTTCAACAGCCAGAATGAATTCTATGCAAGCAGCTCATGTACTTGTGTAGCGTGTGAAAGCAAAACCTACCACACAAGCAATGTGTGCCCTGGAGAAGTGGCCACCAAAAGAACTGGGAGCTGGTAATCATCTATACCAGTGACTGCCAGAATGAACACTATACCATCAAAATTGATGATTCAGAGTCTGAAAAGAAGAAGCAAAGATATTAACCAATTACTACTACATTTCTCTAGAATTCTATTATATAATCAACCCCATCTCTGAACCACAAAGATAGCATACCATCAAAAAAAGTTCTAAATAGATTGTATATGTAACCTATAACTATATCGAAAATGGAAGAAAAGAAGTGCCAATGATCTAGAGTATATATATATATAATGTACGAAGAAAGAGATAACAAAAAAGTCAAGAAAGTTGATAGAGCTAATAGACTAACCAACATGTCAACAAAGAGTCTCAAATATCGGACGCCTCAAAGTATATAATCTCAAACTCATTAAACTGATCATTCACTTCATCATAAAACAGATTCCTGAAAACGTTAAGCTTTTCTTATGAAGACTTCTATGAAAGTCTATCTAGCATGAGAATCGTTCTTTCGTACACTAACCAACTTATACTAACTGCTGGCATCACTTTGAATAAGGAAGGTGCAAGTCCTTTGTAAAATCCTCTGAGTCCTTCTTTCCTCCATGTTCGCTCTACACAATCTCCTATCCCTCGATATGTAGCCGGATGTCCTGAGGTGCCCTGAGCTTGTAGCCGAGTACGTACCAGGTTTCTAAGTAGATAGGGATGAGATTAGACTTTCACATCTCCTGCTGGGGTCATGATCTGATTCTTTGACGTACATTGGATAAACACTAGAAGCTCCAATTCCTCCGCTGAGCGCGCCACATGCTAATGTACCCAGTACACCAGGTGACTCTCCAAGCGCTAGTAGATACGAGTTCTTCAAACCTTCAAAGACTGACATATCAATCGCTGCTCCAGAATCATCTCAATCGTCAACACAATTAAAAATTCTAGAACTACCATTCATGAGTAAGTAGAACATACCAGAGTATGGGAACACGCCTACTGTTGCTGCAGCTATGCCCTTGTAATACGGCTTTATCCCACCACTTGCGTTTAGTCGTCGAATGGTTTGGAATAGTAAGGCTGACCTCTTGACGTTGTGATTAAGGGTACTACTCATTATCTGTGTTTCTGGACAATCAAAGTTAACAACGGCACAGTCAGTCTGGCTTTGTAGATTGAGTCACGGTCTAGTGACACGAGTACTGCCCATGTGGGTTGGCAAGGAATGTATCAAAGGATATGGGCAGGCTGATCCAGCTTGGTAAGCACAATGATTATCCGATCGGTCATCGTCTCAAATCCATCATTTGTGGTAAGATGTGAAGGAAGGCATTAAGATATGAGAGATGCTCACAGGATAAGAGAACTCACTCAAAGTTTCGATAGGATAGATTGCAAACTGACTCACTACGCCACCCAATCCACCAGCGAAGAATCTTGCTATGTTGGTCAGGTTTCCATTAGCGTCAGTAGCAGGTGACATACCCAAACAACCTTGACCTAATGCCATCTTGATATATTCATATGTTAAAAATTTGATAGCTGATTCGGGAAAGATTTTCAGGACATTGAGTCCATTCCCCACAAAAAAGTTTCGAAGACCACCTGGTCCAGGACGAGCTCCAGCTGGTTCCTCATAAATCAATTTGACGGCTATCAATAACTTTGATGACTTTGGGATGAGGCGATAGATAGGTTGTTGAGGAGGTAAGACAATCGTTGCGCGTGAACCGGAAAGTGTAGCGAAAGAAGGTGAAGGATGTGTTTGAATTGAGAGTGGTTTTTCAGCAGTGATGAGATAAATCTTGACTCTATCAAATGGCGCAGTGGCAGTCCGTGAGACCATTCCGGCGATCCCACCTGATAACAGATACTTGCCCGCCCCCTCGAATGGACTGGTGTTCTTTCGATTTGAAGGTACAGAGGAAAGTTCATTTGGATCGGCTTGTTCGAGTGTGTTAAGATCCTTGCCGGTTTGTTGTTCGGGGGTATCAGGTAATGATGATTTGGCTTTCATCTTTCCGATCGCCTTTTCTGAGACGTTAGTGAAGCGGATAGTCAAAGTTGTTGAAGCCTGACTGAAAGGCTCAAAACTTGAAGTAGATGGTTGAGTGAGATTGAGATCCATAGAAAGAATCTCACTCCATTACAATTTGGATGAAGTTGATTTTGAATTAATCTTGAGTTGGTCTTGTTGATTTAGAATATTTTGAATCTTCTCAAACCAATTCCAATGATAAGATGAACTCATGAGTCAGTACTGAATGCTGAGAATTCAATCGATTCTCGTTCTACTTCCGATCAGAACTAATCATACCTTCAACGGTCCTTGACCCCGAACTCGCCATCTCACTCGACAACAACCCAAAAAAGTCAATAAACAACATACCCGCAGTTGCTGTGCAAAGAAGCGCAGTCACTGCGAGTCTAGGCTCACCTAGGAGAACGCTTAGGCGCACGGACTTCCGAGGGGACAAATGGCCGAGTGGACTAAGGCGCCGTCTTCAGGTCTCTTTGCAGCGTGATCGGCGGTCTTCGGGCGTGGGTTCGAATCCCACTTTGTTCATTGCTTTTGCTGCCGCCGATCATCCCACTCTACTCTTCTGTTTGTTGTGTGACAATGTAATAAATAGCTAATCAGTGGAATGCAGGTGCTGGCTCCCACGGATTGTGCTTTGAAGATTTGTGGCCAACATGCATTTTGACATCTATGAACCAAATTTAATACCTCTTATATGGGCGCCAGAGCTCAGGCAAAAGTTGTTTTGAAGACTTGCATAACAAAGTTTTTTGAGGATCTAAAGAATTCTACCTTTGGCCGAGGTTGTGTGAATATACCAGAATCGATCAGGTGACTTGATGCGAGATCCTTAAGAGATTGTCTTCAAAGCTTTTGAAAACCTCTCCAGCGTGATTTATTTTTGCAGAGATGTACATCTGATTCTGTAGCACTTGAATGATTTGTTACACATGCTCGGCTGAAACATGGTTTTTTCATTTGAACTTTGTGTAGATGGGGCTTTACCCTGACTGTGATACCTTCCTTTAGTTTACATCATTGATTCATGCAAGCGATATATTTCAATTTTAATTGCATGAGTACACTGATGAGGGAAGAATGAGTACAAGAAGAATGAAGAATTATTACAAAGTTGTAAATCTCTTTTACACAACGCAAAGCAACCTTGGGGTAGGTGATTGAGAAACTCAAGAATGATCAAAAATGTAAGAGAATTTATTCAAAGAACCACGAGCTAGAAACTGGCTAGTTTTGTGGAAGTGGGATAGTAGCCATGTATGAAGTAAGGGTTTTATCACACTTTTGAACCTGGTCACCGTCAAAGGGTCTATCAGGAAAAGCTGTTGTCATCCATAAGAAATCATCAGAGCTTGGTTTTGGAGGTTTTTTGCGCTATCAGACCAGTTTCTTAAACATGTCAGTCCTCTTAATTTTGTAAAATGATTGAAGGAAGGCGACTTACAAAGTTGACCGGACGGCTAACATTACATGCCATTTTGAACATCAATTGAACGTAATATCTAAATTCAGTCTCCGTGTATCTTGAGGAAGGCAAGGGTTATTATTTGAGTGATTAGTTTCGTATGCTCAGTCATTTGAGTCAAATACATACGTCTTTACTGGTCGTGGATCGTTGAGCCCAGCCCTCGTCATCAACTGGAGATAAAGAGTTGTTCAAGCAGTCAGGATCAAAAAGTAGTCGTCTTGAATGATTTATCACAGTAAGTAGGTTTTTTCTCACAATACAACTCTTGAAAAGGCCACATGATTCCTTGCGGTGAGATGCCAGATGGGTCGCAATCCTATATTTCAATTAGAGATAAGGATCATTTTTAGTAAGCCAGAAAGAGTTGATGAAAACACCATCACAACTGACTTGGTACAATGCTTCACGTCAGCTTTGATTGGAGGGCCCTGTCCGGCAGGGCAAGTCATGTAGTTGGGTTTTGATGTTTTACGCCTCTCAAGATTGGTCATGGGATTAGGATTTCCGATCGTTGCGTCTTGTAATTCTAACGAATCTCTCTTGATATTGAACAAACAAAATGGAACATGAAGAAGAGAAGGTTAAAGGATTTCATGATGTGAAGACTAAAGTTGAATTAATGGATTGATATCAAAGGTAAGCTGAGCAAAGGGACTTTAAGCAGGCTATATAGTTTCAAGTCAAGGAGATAATTTTGTAAGTGTTGTGAAGCTTGGCAAACGAATTTTGCAAATGTAACAGGTACTGAAGATAGGTTGAAAAAGGATAACACAAAGTATCCAAGAAAGATAAGACCTAAAAGGTCGTTGACAAGCATCCTTCAGCTCTTGGTGACTATAACTTCAAATTTCGAGAATGATGGTGTCCATAATCCAGTCACCACGTTTCAACAATTCTGACGGATTTTATGGAGGAACTGACCAACCGAATCATTCGTGCGTGCTATTTTGGGTCCTTGCACTCGAGGTCAGTAACCTTCCAGAGCACTGCATGCGATGATCTTTATACTCAAGATTGACTTCGGCATCCGCGCGGTCCCCGAGTGGACCCCTCCTCTGAGGCTATGTTTGTCCCAGAACAACTCTTCTGGTGCTTTGGATCTCAGAGAACAGATCATTGAGGTTGGGATCCGAGGCAATGAAAGTAGTGTTGCGTCGCGACTGGATCAGATTTAAAACTCTAAGACTAACAGTTCATTCTCCAATTCTCAAATGTTTGCTTTGCTGCTACTCGATGAAGATAGTTACCCTTTACAACAAAATAATCACATAAAATTAGATCATGGTAACCAGAACCTTGATCTTGTTGACAACACCCAGAATTTAACCTTGGCCTGTGTGTTGATGAGGTTCCACCCGAACTGTGACACATTAGTCATTTTATATTTTGATACTTTCAAATATGTATGAATTGCTTGGATGCACACATGATGAGAAAAAAATGAGTACATGAAAATGAACTATCAATGTGATATATAACTTTTCTTCTAGAATTAGTGAAATTGAATTTGGGTTTGTGATTCGAAACTTCAAAGATGATACAACATGTAGAGATTTTATTCAAAGATCTCATTGATGGTTCAGAACCCATTAATATCTATAGACTCATCACTCCTTTGGAAGTGGTATGGCTGCCATATATCTGCTCATGGCTTTGTCACACTCAGTAACTTGTTCATCTTCAAAGGGTGGAATTACAAAAGCTGGTGTCAACCATAAGAAATCATCCTCACTGGGTTTGGGAGGTTTTTTGCGCTATAAAACCAGTTTCTTAGATATTTCAGTCCTCTTCTGGATAAAAAGATTGAAAGAGAGTCACTTACAATGTTAACAGGGCGAGCAACCTTACATGCGAGTGAGAACATCAATTGGACGTAATATCTAAGTTCACTTTCCTTGTAGCTAAGAAGAGCAAGATCAACTATTTGAGTGACGTTCTATACTTAGTTAATGAGGTTGAATATATACATACAATTTCACTCTCTTTGGCCTGTTCAAGCCGGACCTTGTCATTAGCTGGATAAATTAACCCGTTCAGATTATCAGGGTCAGAAATTATCAGAGCAGGCTTGGATAGTCTATCACAGAAAGTGGGTCTTCTCTCACAACGCAAGTCTTGAAATAGCCACATGTTTTCTTGTTGTCAACCAGGTACGTCGCGATCCTATATTTGGATTAAGAGATACAAAGTTGTTTGAGTAAGACAGGAAGCTTCGATGAAAAGAAGTAGGCGTAATTACTCACTTGTCGCAATGCTTGAGGTCAGCTTTGATTGGTGGCCCGTGCGCAGCAGAGCAAGCTACGGGATTGGGTTTCGATGTTTTACGCCTCTCAAGAGTGTTCATGCTAGTCAAATTTCCCAGCGTTACGTCTCGTACTTCTAATTGACTGAACTGTTGTGTATCTGCCGATATCATATAGACGAATTGAAAAACGAAGAAGAGAAAGTTGAGGGAATTCATGATGAGAAGTGTGAGTTCAATTGGAATGGATCGATTTAAAGGTGAGTTGAGCAAAAGATTTTAAGCAACTGTCTTTTCCAAGAACAGGAAATGATTTTGTAAATTTTGTAATATTTGGCAAACGGTTATTATGAATGTGAAGGCTACTAAGGATATAGATTGGGCGGACGAACTTGCAAGTACTCAGCATTTAAGCGAATGTGATCAGCTGAAAGTCTCTAAGAAGCAGAAGACACAAAAGGTCAGACAAAAGTTCCTTGACAAGCGTACTACACGACTGATCATGGCCAGAACTTCGGATGTCGAGTGATGGCGGCCAAGGACAGTACGACTGAGTCACCACGTTATCTAACAGTGCCAACAACTATTCATAGGGGACTCTGATCAACAGAAGCTTTTGTGACACCCACTCTTCCGAAACCTTACCCTCGAGGTCAGCATCCTTCTAGGAAACTGATATTGTTGCACTACTGATATTGTTGCACTGCGCTCAAAGTCGACACCGGGATCTAGATCCCTCCCAGGTACGTCGCACCCGAGCCTGAGGTATTCATCCGAGGCCTTTTTTGTCCCTCAACGGCCCCTCGGATACTTTGGATCTTGGAGAGGAGATTCGAGGTTGGAGTTCAAGGCAATATGAAAGCAGTGTCGTCGGCATGAGTCTACAGATAACTGATCTATGTCATTGTGCAGTTTTGACTTTGCTCCGATTTGAACAGAATCACACCTCCAGCAAGGTCCAAAATTTGATTGATATGAGTTACACACATCATAACTGCTTAGCATCGAATGCGTAACCTTGGCAAAGACCACGCCGAGTCTTGTATCGTTTTTTTCAGATACTATATTGGGGATACCTCTTTTATCAATGAATACGCTTCAATTTGTTCATCTTCTTCTGACTTGTCTCGATGATGGCTTAAGAGACTCACACCAGAAAGGTACTGGCCATGACTCCCCAAAGATCACCAGATTTGTACTCAACACAGATTCTTATCGACATCTGCATTACAACAGGCTAAGTAGGGATCTGACTCACGTAAGACGTTTGGAGGTTCGATATCATGTAAGTTCAATTGAGCGACGCGTAGCGACGTCATACTTGAGGCAGGACGCGTAGTGGTTAATGTGCATAACACATGATGATTTCTTTCTAACATCATTACATCATCATAATGTGTTCGATGTTTATTATATTAGAGCAACTCTTTCTCTTTCTTGTTGTTCTTTTCTCTCATCGAACTCATTATTAGAATCTTTTACAATCTTCTCTTCATCAGATTGTAGATTCTTTTCGATCACTAATCAGCCTTATCAAGACTGATATATGATCTTATTCATTAATAGGTATTGTAGATTCTTTTCGATCACTAATCAGTCTTATCAAGACTGATATATGATCTTATTCATTAATAGAATCCTACATACCGTATTCTCTTTAGTTCTTGACAATCCCTGTGGAGGTGGATAATTGTTTGACTGTAACACTGAGATCGAAGAAATCATTCATGTGTTTTACAAAAATTTGAACTTGTTTTCAAATTCACTTATTGCTAAGGAGAAGATATACATAACATGAGTTAATCTAAACTATAGAGA